ATTAACGCCATTATTAACAAGAGGCCCTCAACAACAACAAAAGTAACAGCAACAACAAACAAACAACGTGCATAATTATGATTGGGTACCGGGTTCCCCAAAAACACAATCGTGTTCTGGCCCTTTGTTGTTGTTGCTGTTTGTGTTGTTGTTGCTGTTGTCGCTGTCTGTCGCCGGGGCTTCAAACAAAAGCGACGCTATCAGAGCGAGCGAACAACAAAAGACACTCAAACAGCGACCACACACAACACACACATATGGAGAGAGTAAGAGTGAGAGAGAGAGAGAGAGAGAGACACTCCATACACATATGCTCTTCATACACACACGCATACGATGGAAGCTGTTATGGAGTAGCTAGCCATGTCGCCTGTGACAGACAGCCAGACAATGGCGAATGAAATGGAGCGAGTTCTTTTTTGATGGGAGAATGGGAGAGTGGGGGAGATGGGACTGTGTGTGTGTGTAGTTGTATTTGTTTATCGAATAATCAAATTGTTTATCGGGCCCAACTAAAAACGTGGAAAAAACAAAAACAAAACCGGCGAAACAATTAATTTTCAAGTCGTTTGATGTGAACACTTTTACCACACACACACACATGCGGAGTGCACAAGGGAGAAAGCAGTTGGTCGTGTCCTTTCAGTAAATTGCGTTTGATGTTTGCTGTTGTTGTTGTTCTTGTTGCTTGATTTAGGACTATGATTTGAGCCTGGGAGCTGCAGCAAGTGCGTACCGAGGACAACCATTAATCAAGGCAATTTACATTTGTATAAATATTTAATTAGTCGTCCCATGTTGGCTGTCAGTTCTCAGCCTAGAGCTGACAGAAACTTATAGGCGCCAGCAATTGAGATTAATTAATTACAGCTCCAGGATTAATTGTGAAGTATCGATGCGTAGTTTCTGTGTGGCGCTAAGAAAAGTAAAGCAAAGAAATTTAGATATTATGAGAAATTAAAAGTGTTAAGGGGACTTTGGCAGAAAGGACGGGCGAGGGTGAAGAGAATATAAATACATGGGCTTTTGTGTGTGTTTACTACGGGAATTTAAGACGTTAAAAACTCTCTTTGTTGATGGACTAAATTCGTGAAACTTTCAGATCGTGATTATAGCATAAGCATAAGGTATGGATATGGGAGCGGAGGGTGGATTGTAATAAAAAACAAAATTCTATAAAAGATATATATATAAATCTACAAAAATGTAGTTAAGGCAGCTGCATGACAAAAGCTGAATGCTACGAGACTCACTGAAAGATGCATTTATAAAACCTATTAAAATATTGATCATAATTTGTTCGCTCAAGAAAAAATCAGAGCTCCATGAATGCCTCTGAAACTGTGGGCCAATTCTTCAGTAAATGTGGCAAAAGCTAGAGTTAAGGCAGCTGCATGACGAAAGCTGAATGCTACGAGACTCGCTGAAAGATGAATTCATAAAACCTATTAAAATATTGATCATGATTTGTTCGCTCAAGAAAAAATCAGAGCTCCATGAATGCCTCTGAAACTGTGGGCCAATTCTTCAGTAAATGTGGCAAAAGCTAGAGTTAAGGCAGCTGCATGACAAAAGCTGAATGCTACAAAACTCTATGTAAGGCATATCAATGCCACGAACTGAATAATATTGCAGCTTGTCGAAAAATGTATCCTCATTGCTCACGAAATAGAAAACGTAATCATATGATTCACAGAAATATAAATACCTTTAGTTTAGGTCTTCTAGCAAAATTATGGCAGAAGCTAAATGACAGACTGCCTGGCAGAAGCTGAATGATATGACACTCGGCGGATGGTATACATATTTTGTAAGCTTTCAGATCGTGATTATAACATTGAAATGCATGCATCTGACAAAGCACAAGTGTCTAGTATTTGAAATACGGCTTTTACAAATTTAGAGGGGAGGGAGTGGATTTAGGGGTGGAGGTGTATGGAGGTGACCCAATTCTTCGTTGCTTTATTTAAATACACTCAGAACACAACACAACGAATGACCTCCGAAGTTGTGGGACAAGAAAGCAACGTGCCAACAGCACTCATAACACTAACTGGCCAACAAAAAAAATGCATTAGAATTGTATTTAAATTAAAATAATCATAAATCTATAAACTATTTTCGGCTTTATATAAGACCGACAAAAAAAAACTTTAAGAAACTACTCCATTCTTTTTAAGATGGTCTTATAATAAAGAGTCTCTATAATCATTTACTGCATATTCTAAAAGAAAATATAATTTTACTTGCTAAATCGATGAAGTATTTCCCCGAAAATTCTCGGGAAAAAGCTTCATATTGTTTATAATACGAAACTGAATTTCCACGAATATTGATCGATTGCTTCAAGGTGGCGGCTGCAAGCGACCACAAAAACACACACAGAGGGACATAAAGAGAGAGAGAGAAGGAGGGAGAACACCAAATAAACGGCGTTCGAAATTCACTTAAAATGCCAAACAAATATATTGTTTAACAAATTGAAAGCACACTGCGCCTGCGCCGGCTGTCAGTGGCTGAGGCTTCCCAGAAAACCAACAAAGCCGTTGAGCATGCGCAAAGGTTAGGGACTCGGGACTCGGAATTCGGGGCTCTCCACTCTCCACTCTCAATTTGTATTGTCATTAGCGATTATGGGCCAGGTCCTGGGACAGCGACTGGGGCGTAATACGATATGTTGACAAAACGCACAGACAGACACGGAGAGACGGACAGAGAGACAGACAAACGCACGCACACACACAATTCGATTGCTGACAAACCTATAAAGCATTTCGAACGGCGCTACTTCAAAATTTTTACTCCTTTTTGCGTCCAGGCGTTCATTGTGCAATACGTAATCAAAACCGCGCAGCCACAAAAAAAAAAAAAAAAAAAAAAACAACAGAAGAGAAGAGAAGAGGAGAAGTAGAAGCTGATGAAAAAGAGCAACGAGCTAAACGACGGCGGGGTAAGCCGATTCGATCAAGGACCAGGTTTTCATTTGAAATACATATGTTCGAATGTCTGTGGCGCAGGCGTAACGAAAGTGAAATCGAGACACAGAGAGCCAAACCGGCAGCTGGAACACCTTCGCCTCATCATCATCAACATCGGAATCATCATCATCGTCATAGTCATCGTGTGCATACTCCAGCCCGTTGTTGTTAGAAGCGGCACAAAGAACCAGTCGAAAGTCAAAAGGGGCACGCGCTCGGTCTCTCAATGCTCTTCAGGGCTCTTCAACCCTGAATGTGGACCTGGACCCGAGCCTAGGCTCGAGATCTGCAGACATTGTGACTGATCGGTGGATTGGGTACTCTGTCTAGACAAGCCGCAGACACAAGTTTAATAGACTTATTGTAATTGAGTCACAAAAGCCACACTCTCCATATATCGAATCACAACTCTTTCACATTTCCATTTACATTTTCCAGCTGCTCAATTGGAAAAGGTGTCGGCTTGGCATCCATCAGGGTCCTTGTAGGGGCGCATTACGGTTTGAGGTTCGAGTGTGATTCCTATTCGAATGCAATTTTACATGTGACTCGTCACTTTAAAAATTGTTGTGCAAATTTAATTAAAAATGCTCTTTGGCAAATATTTTGCTTGTTTCTTTTCACTTTTCACGTATTTCCATTGTCATCAGTCGTCTGTTGCTGTCTCTGTCCGTTCTATTTTATGTGCTGTCATGTGATGCGTTTTGTCAAGTTGACTTGCCCACCTTTTTGCGGCCTTTGTCCCAAAAGAGAATACGACACAATGCGTATAGAGTTAAATGTTTGCTCATGCCCTTTTCCCCCACAACACACACACACACGCACACACATAGGACAATATATTTTCCGTGTGCATGTGTGTGGTTGCTGGGTTGGCTAACAAGTTAATTTTCCATATTTTCTTTGGTAAAACTTTACACGAACTCTACATCAAAGTCATTATGTGGTCGTCTTTGTATGAGTGGACGTGTGTGTGCGTGTGTGTGTGTCTGGCGGTTTGCTTGGGTCGTCCTCGGACCACGATAAGTAAGACAAAGGCGAATAATGAGCAAAAGCCTGAAAGGCAAAAGCCAACGAGCTGGAAATTTTAAAGCTCGTCGACCTCTAAGAATTATCTGTCTTTTGTATTCATAGATCTAGCAACTATAGAACTATATTATAAAGTTCAAAGTTTTTTTCAGAAACTCTAAACAAGACTGTTTTACTTTTAATTGAAAAAATTATATATAAATAAAAACATGTTATTGAATATTTCCATGCATTAAATGTTATTATATAAAAAATAAATATAAAAATAAATAAAAAAAATTAAATTTTAAAAATATATATATTATATCAAATTTATATATAAATTTATAAAAAAAAAATATGTAAATAAAAATTATATATATGTATAAGAATATTTTATATAATATATATTCATTTATATTCTTAAATTATAAATTAATATAAATATATATTTAATTTTAATTTACATATTTTTTGTTTTTATAATTTTTTTATAAAAATATTTTGTAATAATTTCCCGTCATTTTTTTAATATCTATTATAAAAGCATTTAAATTTTCTTTACTCAATAGTTCATACTTTACATACTTTGCGACAAACATATCGATTTCCGCCCATCTTCATGCAAGCAGAAATTAACTCTGTGATGTCATTGTATCAACTCGTAGACGATTATTTATGCCAACTCGCAATCAAGATAGGATAGAGAGAGCAAACTGTAAAACGAACCCCTAGCTGGCAATTATTTGCAGCCCTCTCCAATTAAATTGGTGGAGTTAATCCTTTGCCGGCGCTCTTCCCATATGTTTCGAGATTTTTCACGCAAGAGCAAATCTCTTAAATGCTGCCAATCTCGAATGTCAATAGCAGTCGTCGCAATTTCGGGGGCTGAAGGCTGTACCAGTGGAAGGGGCGTGGCACCGTGCGAACCTGTCAGTACCAACAACAAAAAATTATCACACAATTACGAATTCCCACTGCTGCCCCCCCCCTCAAAGAAAAGGTCAAAAGGCGTCTCCTTAGCCCGAAATCGTTTAAAGACAAATTAATGTATATTTAAGCTGCCTTGCAGACTAATTGCCCAAAGGCCTCGGCCAAAACAAGCTCCACAATCACCACACAAACAGGCACACACTCTAACACTCTCTCACAATATTCGGAAAGAAAAACATTGAAAATCTCACGCCTTTGTTGATTAATTAATCAAAGTAAATAGCTGCAGCGAGCAAGCGTCGTCATTAGCGTAATCTAAACTGCCTATTGATAAGCTTTTTCCACACCTAATGGCTACATTAATTTCGAGAATAGCCCGGAGAGCAGGGCCACGGCGACGACAAAGGCGAGCTGGAGTGGCCTCCGGGCAGCGCCATCCGAGTGGGGCGTGGGGAAAAGCTCATCCCAGACTCTGTAGCGATCGACAAAGTCGGGCGGACCCAGCTTGGTGACGTTATCATTGTAGAGCATCTGCATCTGCGCAGCTGTGCAGGGGGGCCAATAGATGCTGGAGTTCTGCAGCGGCTCACTGCAAAGATCGAAATTGAATTACAGCCATGTGCACTTCACGTTGGCTCACTCAGTGGGGCTTACCCCGTGTGGGCAAAGTGAGCCATCCAACCGGTCAGGCGCTCCATCATGAATAGATCCCTGTGACCGGGACTCAAGATTGAGCCATACCACAGGCTGGGCATCACATATTGCCAGTCGTCCGCATGGCCCACGCCACTGGGCAGATTGTGCTCATTCATCGGCGCCGAGACACTCCGCTGTCCTATGTAATCCATGCGTGAGTAATAGACCTTGGTGTGCTTGCGCGCCAGCTGGACGAGCCTGTGGACGCCGTGGCCTATGATGCCGTCGGAGAAGATTTGGCCGAATCTCTCAATGTTCGTGGCGTTCAGCTCGTCGGCATCGCGACCCAGATAGAAATTCTTGAGCCGTCTGCTCTTTCCCACATTGTAGTCAAAGAGGAATAGCTCCGGCGCCCAGTCATGAAAGTGACTCATGATATCGTGCAGCAGCAGCTCTTTCTCCAGATGTCCTGAAGGAAATTCAGTTAATCGAGTTCCTTAGTTACTTACTCCTCTCTACTTACCTAGGGTCGTAAAGTCCAGCTCGTTGGCGGTGTAGCTGACCATCAGCGGCACCCGGTTGAATGTGCCCTTGTCTATCAGAGTGCTTGGATGATTGGGCAGGAAGTATCTATCGATTTCATAGTTCCACTTCATGTTGATGAACTTGTACTGCTCCCAGTCACTGCAGACGTCGATGATGCTCTGCCAGCTGGCGTTGCGCAGGCATTCGGTCATGTCGTACGAATCGTACAAGGGACAGCCCAGGTGTCTGGCCAAGATGCGTGTCCAGAACTCGTTGTGTATGCTAAAGTGATTCGTGGCCGAGCCGCTCATGAGGATGGCACCATGGAATAGGCCGCTGGACAAAGGCGAGGCCAGATGCAGACTCACAGCCATGGCGCCCGCACTCAAGCCCAGCAGCGTAACCCTAGCCGGATCGCCGCCAAAGCTCGATATGTGCGCCTGCACCCACTCCAGGGCCATGATCTGATCCAGATAGGCATTGTTGCTGCCGCCCAGAAAGCCCAACGCGCCCAGTCGATAGTTGAAGGCCACCATGACCAGGTCGTGCTCCAGCAGATACTCGGGCCCAGCCTCGTATTCGCTGTGGCCGCTGCCCAGGACGTTGGCACCGCCGTGTATATACACGATCACGGGCAGACTGCCCGTCACATTCTTGGTATAGACGTTCAGCTTCAGACAGTCCTCGCTCATCAGCGATTTGATGCCACTCTGTGGGCATATCAGCGAATCGCTGGTGGCTTTCAAAGTGGCATTTCCCCAGGCATGAATCGGCTGGGGCGGCATGAACCGCAGCTCCGCCAACGGCGGCTGGGCGTAGGGTATGCCGCGAAACGCATAGATCGTCTTGTTGCTGAAGCTCTTCATGGTGCCGCCTTGAATGCGGCCCAAGGTGGTGCTCACGATCGGCTCGGTATCGCGTGCCGCCATGCCAAGGCAGCAACTGAGCTGCAGCAGTAGCACCACCGGCAGCACCACCAGCAGCACCTCCACCACCAATGGGCTAGCCATAATTCTTGCTCTCACACGACTTTCAATTTCTATGAGAATATTTTCAGATTTTTTTCTTTCACTTTGTTATTCCGCAATTCAGTTACTCACCCGTGCGACGCACCCGCATGGAAGATCTTTCGGCACTAAAGCGTGCCACGATCTGGAACTGTAACTGTGAACTTCACACGGACGGTATGCTATCGCAAAGTAGCAGTTGATAAGCTTATTATTGGCATTTGATTAGCTTGGCATTAATATGATTACAAATCGTGTTGTTCCCTCTATAAATAATAACACATGACAGCCGACCAAAACAAACTTGGGCTGAACAGTAGGCCAAAACTAATCTAAAATGTCAATTTACTGTCCTGTACTAAGGGGAAGAGAGAACCTTCTAATTATATCTTGAATATTTTTAAGAATATCCAATTAACATTTAACTCCATGTGTATTGAAAGGACTGAATCCGTTCCGCTTACTTAGGCAGACATAATCCACTCTATTCTTAAATAAACATTTTACAAATATACGATCTCAGTCTTAGTATTCTAATCGAAAATATTCTGATATATTTGTTTCAACCGTTTCCATTGTTAAGAAATTGTAAAAAGGGTTTTTTTTATTCCCATTCTTGTTTTCTCCCTTATCCCTTTCTATTTTCTACTGTTCAATTATCTTAACTTTTATTGGCTTTATGTTTTGTTGTGCTTTACATATTTTCTTCTCTTGGTTTCTATTACGACTATTATTTTTCACATATTTTACATTAAAATATTTTCTTATAGTCATGTCATTTCTTCTCTTCTTGTCTTATATATTCTTATCTTCTATATTATTTCTGTCCCCTATTTCCTCTTCCTTTTATCCTTCACTTCTCTTACTTGGTTTATTCATTTTCAGACTTAGTCATAGCTATTCCTTCTTTCAAACTCCCATCATTAGATGTTCTATTAAATTTCATTCTGACCTTGGCCAGTTCCATTTGCAAAGCAAATCCATTTCAATTGAAACTTATTGCTTCATTGAAGTATTGGATTGAGTTTCGCAGCCGTTAGAGACTCAGCGCCCTTTCGCTCTGGCAGCACGGATGTAGCTGATCCTACGCCCGCAGATTTGTTATTTTTTTTTTTTTTAGAATTTTGTAGGTTTTTCTCATGCCATTGGCAATGGCAGCAGCAGCTCGCTGAGATTTAAATTGATTTCCTTATTAGTGCACATCCCTCTTGTAATATTCAATTAAAACTACCCACGACGCACTCATAGTCGCGTCTATAGCCGCTCATTGATTGATATAAGCCGAGTGGTAATTACTCGGGTCCCCGACACTTTCCAGCACTCTGATTTGCCTGGGCAAAAGTGAAAATTATGGCGGCGGTGCCGGTGCTGGTGTTGTGTGAAAAGCTGACAATGACCTTTGTTAAATGAATTCAATTAATTACGTCTGCAGCGATGGCGGGAGTCGCCAAGAAGACGTTCGGAAATTAAGCAACAAAGCCCATTGGCTCGATAGTTCATTTAAATAATTGTCA